ACATTTTCATATTCATTTAGAGATCAAAGATCTATTTTACAAGAGCATTTTGGCCAAGACAGGCAACAGCAACAACAATAAATTTAATCCATCAACATTAAAAGTAGCATAAAAGTCCAAAAATAAACTTAGCAAAATCACTTAGCAAGTGATTACTAAATGATTCTTAGCAATCACTTGCTAATTTAGAAGCATCCAATGTGGACGTTTCTAAATTTTCAAGGTATATTTAAACATGTCAAAGGTAATACACTCCAGAAGATTTCATGAGTTCTATTCAATGAATACTTAAATGGCAATTTAGTAAACATAACATACGTTACATTTATTGGTTTTACATGTTTGAGTTCCAGGTTTGAAAACAAAAAGTTTCACCCATACAAATAAACCAAAAGGTCAAAGGTCAAACAAAACACAGGTCCATATCTTATTAATGTGACCTGTCTATTTTGAGCCCAGAAGGAATGATTTCATAAAGTCAATCATGCAGTTAGTTTACCAGATATACTCTTTGTAGAGCAAAGTTACCCTGCTACATGAAGGCAACCAGCCTCTGTCTATGCCTGAAATGCCTCAACAGGACGCAGAAAATTAATTGGAAAGTCTGAAGTTCCTCACCAAGCCTGATCTCAGAATCCATTATGTCAAAGTGAAGTCATGAGTTATTTGAGTGAAAGTTCAATGCAAGAACAAAGTCTTTCATTACGTTACCAAGTTGAATTCAAAGTAATGTAACTTGTGACGGATGTCTGACTTGATTCCAAGTCTCATGTCTCCAGTCCACATCTTTGTTGTTTGCACTTCAGGATATAAATCTTGGCATTTTGTAACAGCATGTTCACAAAAGAGTTTTTTTTTTTTTTTTTTTATAAGATGTCTGTGTGACTCATTCAATGTGACACAAAACCTTCAGAGGCTTGCAAAGCTGGTTCATAACTGAAACTATTACTTCCTGCATAACACTCAGCAAATCTTTCTGAATTGACAAGGAGCCTTTAACTTTCCAAGCTCAAACGGAGACCTGCGACTTCAGGGTGGCAACTTGGAAATTCCACCTTCAAGAACAAATACCACAAACCACAAGCACCGACCTCAACCAGCTGCATCCAGAGCAAGGTTACAGTGGCTGTAACATCATTTTCAGATTCAAGTTCTGGATTGTTGCAAAAAAAAAAAAAACAAAAAAAAAAACTATGTTGTGCCTCTAAAGTAAAACAAATTAAGTGGGAAGAGGAATCTTTTTTTTTCAGCATTACATTTTCTTTGCTGCTTTCACATCACAAGAATTTCATTTACAAAGAACTACACTCTAGTTTTCAGAATAACCAAACAGATTTGACTTCAACTATTTCTGAAACCGAAGTTTAGTGTTTCAGTTTCAATTGCATGAGAATCATAACCACTTTATTTTCATTTTCATCACTCAATTTATTTTAAGATTTCACTTCTAATGACTAATGAGACAATATATTCTTAAATACTTACAAATTATAGTACTTTTTTAACAGTTTACTGAAAGCACAAACAAACGT